TTATTTTCGTTCTAATGGCGGTGGTTATTCAATATTCTTTGTGTTACTTGTTTCTTATATTGCTGGAAAATGGATGGCTCGTGTTCTTCCAGTGGATGAATTCAAATTTTATAAATGGAAATTTACTTTAAATCCTGGTAACGTTTCATATCTTACAAACTTTGGTAACTTGACTGATTACAGGATTTGTTGTTTCACGTAAAATTTTTTTCAAACAGGTCCATTTAATGTTAAGGAACACGTTCTTATCGCTGTGGCAGCTGGGGCTGGTGGTGGCTCAGCATATGGCACAGTTAATATTTTTACATTATTCTATACACCTTCTCGGATATGTTTGCTTTAACTTATTCTTTATTATAAATTATAGGACATTATTGCAATACAGGATTTGTTTTATAATCAACACCCAGGTTTCTTAATAGGAATGTTGCTTTTATTGAGTACTCAGATGATTGGATATGGTTTGGCTGGATTTTTAAGAAAATGTAGGCTATTTGTTGATTCTTTATTTTCAATCTTAAAAATTGTTTAGTAACAACATATTACAATTGAATAGACCTTGTACGACCTGCTAATATGTTGGTACGTTTAATTTTCTTGATAGTCATATAGATATATTACCGTTTTTTCTTAACTATATTTTAAATTTTTGTTAATTTTAATACATTAATAGTGGCCTTCTAATTTGGTGTTTTCCAGTTTATTTTCAACTCTTCATGGAGATGTGTCTGATACACGAGACAAATTAAAATTTTTTACTATAACATTTACGCTAATGTTCGTGTGGCAATTTGTTCCACAGTTTATGTTTCCAATGCTGACAAGCATAGCATTATTATGTTTGATTAAACCATATAATAATAATATAGTCCGGCTGGGGAGTGGTTACCATGGTCTTGGTATATTAAATTTTTCTTTAGATTGGAATGCTATAGGACAACCTGGACCACTGTACACACCTTGGTAATAAGAATGAATTCAGAGGTCCATCATATAATTAAAGATATTTAGTCTTATCATAAATATTACCATTTTAATAACTTAGGTGGGCGCAAGTAAATTGGTACGTTGGGGTGATAGTTGGTTCTTGGATAATAGCTCCAATTTTGTATTACAATGATTTTTGGTAAGAATTAATTGATTAATATTTAGGCACAACGTTATTTGCATTCTCATGGTTAAATTTATTTATTAGGATGGCAAAAAAATTTCCAATGTTGGCAACATATTCTTTAAACAAAGATGGTGAAAGGTGAATTATTAACAATAAAATAATACAACAAATACAACATAGTTTAATATTAATTTATTATTTAATTTAATGAACTAGATATAACCAATCTGCTATAATAGATGTTAACACCGGTGCTTTGAATGAAACTGCCTATGAAGAGTATGGTCCTGTGTATCTAAGTGTTACATTTGCAGTTGGGTATTTTTATTCTTTTATAGCCTTTACTGCCGCGATTACGCATGTTATTCTCTTTTACGGTGATGAAATCTGGGATAGATTCAAAGCAAGCCGATCAGAAGAAGTTGAGGATATTCATTGTAAAATGATGAGAAATTATGAAGGTTAGAAAATATTTAATTTCTTAATATCAGAATATTATTTTTTAATTTGATTTATGTGCTTTTCTTTAGAAATTCCAAATTGGTGGTATGCCTGTATATTTGTGTTCATGTTGTTGCTCGCAATAATTCTTTGTGACGCATCCGGGTCCCGTCTGCCATGGTGGGGTTTAATTCTCGCTGTTGGCATAGCGTGTATGATGGTATTACCAATAGGTAATATTTTGTAATCTATTAATGTCTTTCTCATATTCCATAATTCGACATGATCTTAATAGTTCTTTCTAATGAAATGTTAAGGAGTTATTCAAGCTGTGTCAAATAATCAAGTTGGCCTTAACGTTATCACAGAAATGATTTGCGGGTAAATGCAATTTTATGCTTTTTTAAAATTTTTTTTTTTTTAAAAATTTATCTTACATTAATTATATACATATTAGATATATTTTTCCGGGACTTCCAATTGCAAATGTATATTTTAAATGTTATGGCTATATGGCTATGTACCAATGCTTATCATTCGTATCAGACCTTAAACTTGGTAGTTATATAAAGATATAGAGATATTTGTTGATAAATTTAAATTTGTTATATTATACAGTTGGTGCTGTCTAATTGTATACTACCTGTGAACACAACCCTTTTTTTTTTTATTCTTATGCATTTATACACTATATATTGATCAAACTCTGCAAAATTTGTTAATTCAATTAGATAGTATCAACTGTATACAGTATATTATTTATGTTTATTGTTGTTATTTTTATTAGGACACTACATGAAAATTCCACCTAAAGCAATGTTTACAGCACAAATGTGGGGTACAATTGTTGGTGCGTTCATTAATTATTGGATTTTACAATTGATAATACACGCCAAACGTCCTTTTTTAGATGGTACAATGAGAGATCCAACTGGTCAATGGACAGGATATCGATCACAAGTATTCAATACAGCATCAATAATATGGGGTTTAATTGGACCAGGAAGAACCTTTGGCAATGTAATGATTTAGATTATTTTCATATTCCGGATTTATGCTATTTTGTTTCTAATGATTACCTTAAAATTATGCGCAGGATTCTATGTATCATCCTTTGCTTTGGGGATTCCTAATAGGATTCCTCGCTCCTATTCCATTTTATTTTTT